GTAAGGGTAATTGTTCTAACAACAACTTATATGACTGTGCTGAAGTGTGACGTAAAATTAATGCATAACGTATAACGGAAGCAGAATATGGAGGTCTGCCTTGTGGAGAATAGTATCTTATTTCATTTAGCTCTGTCAAAATTGAATTAAAAGCATTAGCTTTATTTCAAATATGAGCAGGAAAATTTTCTATCATACTACAGTTTGTTAATTTGCAATTATGACCACTGCAAAACCATTCAGGTAAAGAAATATGATATCCTTTATACGACAATGAAACATTAAGATCTTTATTAACTGTTATTGACTCAAACACAGTTGGTATACCTGATATTTTATCAAAACAGAGTTTATAGAAAACAACACTATCATAAAGTTTCTTAAATGTAAATCTTGGTGGGCATTGCTGTTCTTTTAATGAATTAAGACTAATTATTTTATCAATATTTTGAAAATCACTGAACTCATCTTTTCCCAAGTATCTTAAAGTTGGATCTTTTCTAGGCAACTTTGGCACCCTTAAAGTTGATGAACTACTTTTTTTATCTGTGTGAATAGTTGGAACAGGTTGGAGATCCCATTTCATGGTGCATCTTTTCCCATATTTAATAAATTTATCCTCGAAATGATCAATATAAATAGCAGAGTATTTAGATGGAAGCCAATCTTTTCTATTGACAAAATATACCCATCGTTCTCGCAAACTGCTTTCTTCAGGAAAATGAAATGTAGACTTTTTTGGACCAGTAGAGTAACCAGTTTTACAGTTTGTGACAACACATTTGTTAACCATTTTTATAACTAAAAAAAATTTCAAAAACTACAATAATATTGAGATTTCTTACATTTATAATTGAAGTTATCTCCACTTAAATAACATTGCATAAAAAAAAGCAGTTCGACTGTATACAATATACCAAGTAGACTGTCTGTAAGTCTATTTTATTATTCCACTCTCTAATGGATTATAATGAAACAGACAATCAGTCAGAATATAATCAGAAATATATACTACATGAATATGAAAATATAAACCAAACTTTGATATAATAATTGTAATAATCACATTATTTTAATTATTAAATATTGTTAGTAGAAAATAAGCCGTAAAAAAACTGGCCTCTTAATTTTTTACGGAAAATGCAACAAATCAGGCCGTGTAATTATAGTAGGCCATGGTTATATATAGTTGTCAAAACACAATATTTCTATCAATTTTCACAAAAAATACTGGAATTCCGAACAAGAAAGAGCTTATAATTATGGAAAATAAGCCAATAAACAATCAGAAAAAACAATTTATCAAAAATAGCATTGTTTTAAACAGTAACTGCGGTAGAATCTAAAAACATATAGATCTTCCTATGAGAAAAACAAATATAGAACTAATAAAAGTAATTTATTTTAGCAGGGTAATTTGGTTTTCCCTAGCAACGTTCATAGCAACGGCTAGTTAAGGTTAGAAATAAAAAAAAATTAAAAAACAAAGAAAAAATCTTAAAGCAACTAGGAAAGGGTTTGATAATAAATACAATGATTAAGAGGGACAGTATGTAAAAAAGGGGGATTTTAACCTGTTTTCATACGTTGGTATATTAATTATTTTAAATTTTATATGCATTTTTCTCTGTTTTATTCTTCTAATTTTCTGGCAAAGATTGCAGGAGCTGTAATAGTCCAATTGACTTCAAAAATATTTCACAAATTTTTTCCAGAGATTCATTATTATAAGCTTTATGTCCTGAGATAAAATAAATTTAGAATATAAATTTTTAAAAAAACAAAATTTTGGTTCTTAATATCAGAAATTCAATTTTTAATTGGGCGCTTTGAAAAATCTAACGATGCTTCAAAATAAAGAAATTTTCAACAAAAATTTTTATCTCGGGGCATTTATCTACATAAAACGAATAAAAATACAAAAAAGAACTTAATAAATTATACTTTTTGAGGTATCTTTGCCAAGATTTTAGCCTGTTTTTGACCTAAAAATACCTGTTTTTTCCCTAAATATATATATATATATATATATATAAAAATAAAAATTATAAGTTTACTAATGTATTTATCATGCTTGAAGTAAAAAAATCTATTGAAATATTGTAAAATACAAAAATAATTTTTTTAGCATTCTACCACCTTAAACTATAATGTTCATTTCACCTAAAAAACTTGTTAATATAAAATCTTATTTAAATTTGGACGAGCAATTGTGATTTTAGGATGATTTAAAAAAAAAAAAAAAAAAGAATCATCGGTCTGGATTTTTTCGCTACAAACATTTATATTTTATGATACCACAAAGTTTATCATTTTATGTTTTTCGTCTTTTCATAATTTACAGTCCAGGCCATTTGACTGGAAAATGTCGCAGTCAACAAAATATCATACAGACGCTCTATTATTTTAAAAGTGCTTTAACTAGAGTACCTTAACTAACCACCGAGTACTCTTTCTTTCTTAATAAGTTTCTTCTTAATAAATTTTTTTTTACTTAATTTTTGATTTAATTTAATATAAAAATAAAGAATGTAATCGTATAGC